TTCATATCAAGATATTGAGAATAGCAAAATAAAAGAAGATATACCTGATGGTGTCATTCTTTTAAATTTCTTGGAATTAAATCTATTTTTTTCTTTTAGTGGGTTTATATAGTGATTGTTTTAGTCAGATTTTTCACTACTATGACTAAAAGATCAGCACAATTGTAGAGGATGAAAAGTTCATTTAGGGGCTTATGGTTTCAGAGATATCAATCCTCAGAGAACTGGCTCCATTCCTTGGCAAAACAACATGGCAGAATAATATGGCTGAGGGAAGCAACTCACATGATGATCACAGGAAGCAGAGAGAGAGATTACGTTTGCCAGATACAAAAATGTATATCCTAAAGGCAGGTCCCCAGTGACCTACCTCCTCCAGCCACACCCTACCCACTTTCAGCCACTGCCATGCTAATCCCATCAGGGGATTGATTCACTGATTTTGTTAAGGTTTTCATAATCCAATCTTTTCTCCTCTAAACCTTCTTGCATTGTCTCACACATGAGCCAAACTACAGTGAGGTAAGCTTATCTTTGAAATGAGCATTAAAGGTCTTCCTGTATTATAGGATTATGGCAAATATCATCTAGGAATATGGTTTAATAAGCCATGTACTCTTTGTTTTGATCCTTTAATTTTGAATGGATAACCCATGCACATAACTTGAACATTAGAAATTTTTACAAGTACACAGGGAAGAGTCTCTTACCTGTATTTTCTCCTATCCTTTTCATTTCTGTCACTTCAATATACACAACCACTATTATTAGCTTGTATATTTATCCTTTTAAAGATGTTTTATGAGTGTACTAGCTAATAGATATATTCTGTCTCATATCTGTGGACATATTTTTATACCAATGGTAGCATGCTTAACATACATGTTGGCATTTTAAAAATTGTTGTTACTTTGTAACGTTTCTTGATTATCTTCTTATATCTACACAAAAGACCTTTTTTGCAGAGAATAATATTTTATTTTATAAATCAACTATTATTTAAATAATCCCCAAGGACTGGACACATAGATTGTTTCCAGTCTTTGTCTGTCACACACAATGTTATTATGAATGACCTGTATAAATACCCTTTTGTATATCAGCAAATGTATTATTCATGGGATTCATTCTTAGAAATATCAGATAAAAGAATTCTACAATTGTGCCCTTAGTAGGTGTGGTTAAATCACTCTCTGAGAATAGTGCAAGTTTGCACTTCATTCTATAAACATGTTTCATATTTGAGAAACTTGAACCATAATTGATACTCATTTATCTGGACAAGAATGGATATGAATACTTAGAATCTATAGTTCAATTCTTGATAGGCATATACAGAAATAATTGTTTTGGGGAAATGCAAAGAATATTATTCTTATTCAGCTCCTTTAGTTTTGAAAACTGACACTCAAAGAAGAGAGTGACTTGCCCAAGGTCGTATATCCCATTAGGGACAAGTCTGAGACTTCTGAATTATATTCATATCTTGGTACTTGTAGTCTAGTGTTTTTTCCACAACAGAGAAGAGACAGTAACTGTGCTGTGTGATGAAGATCCCTTAGAATCTACTTCTATTTCTTCTGTGGATGTTGATAGCTACCATTTCTTGAACTTTCTCATGAACCAGGAATTGACTTTAAAATTTCCATTCACATTGTTCTTATCTAGATCAAAAGATTCAAATTCAAGGGTAAGATAAAGTGTTGCCCCTAGATTTTGCATGCATATATCTCACTTATGTCTGGCCACCATAAAGATGCTATTCTGTTTAATAAAGTTTAATAGAAAGCATCATTGAAATGATAATAGCGGTTTGTCTCCAATGTACTCAAGCAATGGATTTTAAAACTATTACTGTGAAAAACTAATATATGATATTTTTGATATTAAAAAGCAATCCTTAAAATAAAAAAAAAAATTATTGAGCCACTTAATCCTGTCCAAGTTCTTTTTTAATTGCCTAAATATCATTCTGTACTCCATCTGTCTCCATTATAAGGTTAAATGTTAATGATGCCACACAACACAGAAGCGAAGATAGGATCATCTCAGCTACTGCATTGATTTACATACAAGGAAACCAAACCAGGGAACAGTAAAACAATGGCTTCATCTGGGCAACTGATAACTTAGAGCTAGAGCTGGAATAAGCAGGAAGTGCTCTTGACCAAATTTTACCACAGAAAAAGAAGAACTCTGCGAAGCAGTTACTTACAAGCATTATGAACAATTAAAATAATGAAAGAAATTTCCTTTCAAGCCTCATATTGATTCACCTCCAGCTTTGTGCATCTGAGAGGTCATCACATTGGTCAATAATAACAGTTGATCTTGGACACTCTACTTTTAATATAAAGCATAAAACATAGAGATCAATATTTTGATTTTGAGGAAGCTCATTTATTGGCTGTTTGTCCTTAGACCTTTAAATGGAAGAGAGAACTAAAGAAACACAGGGAATAATTTTTTCAGAAATTCCATTTAAAGTATGTAGACAACAATAGCTAAGGGAAAGCAAAGGAAAGGGTTTTTATTATGTCACTAGTTTCTGCTCTTACCAGTTCCTCTCCACTGCCCTCCTTCCCATTAATGCTTCCAAGCCTTCTCTTTACTAAGCTCAAGTGGACACATCTTTTATAACTACAGATAAGAGGCACTTATTCTTGATCTTCTCATCCTCAAAATAGGCGGGCCATGGCCATCTCCTCTTGCTTCTTTATATATTAAGTATTTGATATAGAAAAGCAGTGGCAAAGGAGGAAAATAAAAGTACATAGACTTCAACTTCAGCAGAGAGTTTGAGGGTGCTAAAATGGCCCTGGAACAACATTTCCCAAATGTTAATTTGTAGAAACTTAGTCTTATGATAGATTCTGCAAAACAGTTTCAACAGTCAAATCCTCCTGAGGATTCACAACTCTTTAGCATGTAGTAAATGCTGAGAGAAGGCCTACAGTGTGTTAACTGGTTTGAATCAAGTCAACCAATGATTCCCCAATTTAAATGACTTTTAAACTCATGTCTCACTGCATTCACTTGGGAAATTCTGCCTGATAGAATTCTATGTTGTTCCTCTCTGTCTTTTTCCTCATTTGTATGCATTAGGGGATTTGGAATATCATACCTAGGTACAAACAACAAGTAGTCACAAGGAGTAATGAAGGAATCTAAGCACAAGTTCCTTTCTTCATGTGTTCTAGTGTTCTTTAAAAGACAGAAACTAAATCATAATTCTTATGAAAATCCATTATTTAGGGTACAGAGCTAGTATTGCTTGAATATATGTAACTCTTACTTTTATGATAAAAAATATCACTGTATAATATATTATGTTAAATTCAACCTAATTTCCCTTTATCTTCCATTTCTATGTTGTACCAGTTCTCACTACAATGAACCAAGCTTACCTGTGAAATCACATCTGCACAAAATTAGTAGTAAAGTTTCTCTACCTTCATTGATCACACAACATGATCTTTAATATTGTCAGTAAGAGTTTAAATATATTTAAACCAATTCTTTGGTTTTTTTTCTCACATATCAAATAATAGTCTCAACATTTAGCAGGTAACCAACAATATTTTTTTCCCTTTTGTGATTTATATGTTGCTATTAAATTTCATTTGAATTTAAACTCTGCCATATTCTTCTTTTTATAATGTACTCTTATTATTGTCCTTTGGTGAAATTAAGTAGTACAAATAAATCAAAGCAAATTATTTAACTTCACTATAATGTTCAAAGACTATAGATTGAAACTTACCATTTGTTCAAACTTGATTAGTTGTGGTTTACGTTAATAAAATGATCTAATTATCCAATTTGCATATAAGACCAAGAAGCAAAAGTTATAAGGTATTTTAAGAAATTTGAATTAAAATTTGGGATTTTTGAGCTGGGGATGTGGCTCAAGTGGTAGCACGCTCGCCTGGCATGCGTGCGGCCCGGGTTCTATCCTCAGCACCACATACAAAGATGTTGTGTCCGCCGATAACTAAAAAATAAATATTAAAAATTCTCTCTCTCTCTCTCCCTCTCTCTCACTCTCTCTTTAAGAAAAATAAAAATAAATAAAATTTGGGATTATTTTCTTTTAATCTGTTTTTACTTTACATATGAAGGTGTTCCTATTCTGTTATACTCCTAAATTTAAAATTTTATATGAGAATTGAGTGGTAGAGTATATGCCTAGCATATGTGAGGTTCTGGTTACAATCCCAGCATCAACTTCCTCCCAAAACTTTATGCATGTGTAGAGATCAAAAGAATAGCACAATCGTTGGGTTTTATATGTAAAAGAAAAGTCAAATTTTGTCTTTTATTATGTAAATAGAGATTTAAAATATATATATTCCTTTGTGATAATTTTAATATATTAAAAATAAGTGACTAACAGCCTATTCAAGTGTATATGCTCTGTTATTCCTATCATACCTCATGTATGTGGGGATTGATAGTTTCCACTTTAAAACTGAAAAGAATATTTTGAAATTATTCTTTTAACAATTATTATGATATAAATTCTCTTGGTATTTTTTAAAGAAAATTGATTTTCTTTATTATGTGCAATGCCTGAACTTGTCTTATTTACAAGGAAAGTTATGGCTAGCACTGGCTCTTTCTTCCCATGTCAATTCAGTTGCTCATTTTGTGGGCAATTATTTCTCAGTTTATTTCCCACCAAGGATTTATCTTTTGCCAGGGTACCAATTATGTACATCTTATACTGTAATCTGTCTCACTTGCATCTGACCAATAATGATGGAACAATTCACTGGTAGGAAATTCCTTTTCACAATTATCACTTTCCTGGGAAATTGCCTAGTTTAAAGGAGGTTGTACTAAAATCTTTTACCAAAGAAGCATTTACATCATCAATATTTCTTAGCTTGTCTGTCTCCAGGCTCCAACACAAATACCTAAAATAAATAAAGCACCAATTATTTGAAAAGTAAAAAATGCCTTCCTTATCCTATTTCTCTTTCCTTTTGCATTTACAGATGTCATCCATACCGTAGGGCCAATAGCCAGAGGTCATATTAATGGTTCCCACAAGGAAGACCTTGCAAATTGCTATAAATCATCTCTGAAGCTGGTGAAAGAAAATAACCTCCGATCAGTTGTAAGTACTTTTATATTCCTCATTTCTTATTCTTTTTCAGCCTTTATGTTTTGGAAATCAATCTTGTCTAAGAAGAGGTAGGAAACCATTTCCAAAATTCTGAAGATTAAATTTAAGGATTGCAGCTAAATTATATATTCTTTTTAGTTATCATGACTCTACATGTTGGTATCCCCTAAAAATTTGCTAAATTATTTATGATGTTTTAGAATTTGAAACTATAGAACTCCCCACCTAGAGTCATCTTGTTTATTGTTTTCTCTTCATTTTGCCATTTATTTTCTTTTGAATAAAGTACAAGGGATGCTAGTGGCCAATAGTTTTAAAGAAGGAAATTAGAAAGTGCTGAGTATTATTGTACTACACATTTCTTACATATTGGAAGTGTGCATATGCGTGTTTAAAGATGAGTTTAATCTTTACCTACATGTTTGAGTACACAAGCTTGTGTATAACTGCATTGCTTTAGAAATGACTCATTTGCAGAAATTTACTCTGTATTTTTATCTGAAAGTTGTTTATGAATCTTTTAGATTCATTTTAGTCATCATGAACTAATACATTGTAGCTGAGTGTCCCACATGCCTTCTAAATTTTATCATTTTAGACAGAACATTCAGAAAATGTGGCTCTAATCTATTCCCTTAACAGTGGGATAAGATGAAAGGAATTCTCTTCTAGATGGATTTGGAGGTGTTTATCCACCTGTTTTTCTTTTACAGCATGTCCTACCTCTATTACATCTCAATTACATCAGGAAAATGAAACTATGAGAATACTAGATTGTAAATAACCAATAATAAGTTAACTTGGCCAGAATCCCTTGGGTTTTTTCCCAAACATATGTCGTAACCTTATTGAAATTGTGGGGTTAAACACTTGACTTTGTAGCAGGCTGAACTGATCAGCATTGCTTGGGATTGCACACAAATCATGATTTTACTATTTGCAAGGGAAAAAATTAAGAATTACACATATTGAAATAACCCTGAATGGTTGCTGTACTTTTGTGTATGACTATAATTATAAAGTGCCTTTTTCAGTGCAACATTGGTGAATTTGCTTGAAATGAGAAAACTTTTTATAAGCCAATTTTATAGCCCTTTTAATCTTTGCATAATTACAGAGCTGAATATTTTATTTTACCCTTTGATTTTTTAAATTTTCTGTTTGCAAATGAATCGATATATAAGAACCTATTCTGTCTCAGAGGAGAAAGCTGAAGTTCAAAGAGAATGGAGCAAAGTAAACTAGGAAGCCGGTTGGCTAATTTTGTTCTCTATAGGAAAGTAAGGAAAATCGAAACAGGTGCGCACATTCAGGGAATAATTAAAAATTTGTCAATATGGCATATTGATTTTAAAAGGCAAGGGGCAGAAGTGCTTGGAAAATGGACATGTATAGAAGTTTCCAACCAGGGAGGGAGGGATTTTGAGACCTGAAGAGAATTTGTTTAATGAATTCACTGGCTTCTCTAATGATATGCTTTTAAAAGCCAAGAAAAAAAAAATAAGAGGCAAAAAGCCCACTAGAAAGAGTATAAAAATAGTACTCACTCTTTAAATGGGGGAAAGACATTCTTAACTATAATAATGTTAAAACAATCATATCTGTCACTGTGCTACTTGCTACCATTGGAAGTGGAATAAGTATTATGGACTAAATTAATTTATCAAAAGGACCTAGGTTGGGCTGATGCAATAAGTTATTTATTCTGAATTGGAATCAGCCTACCCTAATATCTTAGATGAAGATTTTGAAAGATTACTTAACTTGTTAAGTAATTATCTAGTTAATTAAGATTACTTAACATGTTACTTAACTAAAATTTTCAGGTGATCCTGAACTGAGTTTATTCTAGTATTAGTAATTAAAACGGAGTAAAATATATCAGTAAAATATGAAATGAAATGTCCAGCTAAAATAAAGACTACGTTTTTGAGTGGTTGGCTGGAATTGCCAACAAATATCTTGACCCTTTTTCTTATAAAGTTTGTTCATCCTTTCTTCTTCTTTTGAAGGGTTAGATGAGAGTGTCTTTATGCTATGTTTTGGTCTATCATTAAAAAAAGAATGCTAATGTCCTCAAATTCTGATTATTTGGGGGAAAAGGAAAGTTTTTAGAAATGGGATTATGACTGGACACATGTTCAGGCTTGTAATGGCAGACTCACGACAATAAACTAGAGTTTGTTTATTAATGTCAAAGTTTCTCAGAAACCCTTTACCAAAGGGGCTTTAGTATTCATTCTACCAGTTAGCACTGTGTGACAACAGACAAATAAAGTCAAAGTTTTGTAGCATCAGTTGCTAGATATAACAAATCAGCAAATTACTGTTATCTCAGACCTGTCAAACTCAGGAGGTTATTATGAGGATCAACTGAGAAAATGAATTTAAGTTAACTGGAGAAATGTATTCTCCCCCAACTGTAGTTTTTGACTATGTAACTTTTAGTAGAAGTTGTTTTTATACTTTATGATTGGCAATTTAGAAGATAGGTATTATTCTTGCTTACATATATATTCTGAACACCAGAATCCTTGATACTTATCATGCTATTTCTTGATGTTTATAAACTAGAATAAATTATAATAAAGAATAGTTTTTGATTAGGATATTATATTTATTTAAGCTATTATTTACATTCTTAATATCATTTTATTCATAATCCTTAAAAATGTAATTGTTTATATTACCAGCTCACTTCTCCATTTACAATAACAGACAACATGGGTTTTATGCTGTTCAGTATATGCATTGATTAAATTATATTCTTGCATCACCAACTATAGCTGTTTTAAATTTATACTCTAATTTTTTAACTTTTAAAAGTTCTTTCATATTATGGTTTCTCCACTACATGTTGTTTGGAAGAAAAGCCATAAAAATGAATATTGAGCAAATAGTTAAATCAGGATAGCACATATATAGGGAAGCAGTTATAAGGCAGTATGGGAAATTTCATAATGAGGTTATGTTACTTGAGTGCTTCGAATCACTTAGCATGTGCTGCAGCTACAACTAACCTCAGAATGTCAGACTTATGAATAGTGTTTCATCTCATATGTATAATATCTGCAACTCATAACCTCCTTAGTCGAAGAACATAAAATTTGCAATTATTTTTCTGTCTTGGGGTAGAAATGACCTATATCATTTATGCTTCCATTTTATTGGCCAGAGCTATTCATGTAGTCCTGCCTACATATAAGGGGCCAGAGATATGTTCAGGAATAAATTGAATATTTGATTGACACCGTTTTTCTGCTGAAGTTAAACCAAAGGTTTTAGGAACACAGCAGAAAGATCTAAAGTATCTACTTTTACTCTAATTTCACCAAAGGAAAATATTTTTCACATTTTTGCTAGAGGTAAATGAATAATCTGATTTTTATTTATTTAATAAATACTAATGAGACCACTGTGTATCGGGACATTATTAGATGTCTTCTAAAACATGCAGGACATAATGGTTGTCTTCAAACAAACCCATCATGTCGACATCCCTGTATGATTTGAGACTATTCTGTAGTTCTTGTATCACTTTTAAATATCTTCCCACAGTTGCCTGAAATTTCATAATTAATGAGTAATTTATGATGGTCAGGCTTTGTTCTTTCTCTGCCGTTCTCCTTTAAAATGCAAATACTCATGAGATCAGTAGATAATTAATTTCCTAATACCTTAATATGAAGGAATTTATCAAATTACTTTTTACTTTGGCAGGATAATTTAGAGGATGATGAAAGTACTGAGCACCTGGGACTGGGAGAGGAGGAGGAGAATTGGAAGGGAGTTGAGAGAAACAGAATACGGAGTGTGGTATAAATAAATAACACTTACCTCCCAGGTTTTCCAAAAGGGTTTTATTTTTAAACAAAGAGAAGGAAATGTTATGTGTGCACATAATCATCTAGAAATAAGGTAGTGATTTGGATGTTGGATATGCTATGGATAAAATGTTTGACTATGAAAAAATACTATTCTATTAATTTAGGGGAGAAATTTTGCCTACCTTTTAATCTCTGAATAGAGATCCAGTCTTTGTGAGGGTCATTTTCAATATACACACCCATATGTTTGCTTTAGGCACTTAAGAAATTAATAAATCTAATGACTCATTTTATACTAGCATTTCTTTTTTATGAATTATTATTTTACTACAACTTTATTAATTTCAGGAAATATTTAAACTGAGAATTTTAACCACAAATCTCCTTCTATTCTTACCATAAAGGGTTTTAAAAAAATCCTGTCCATTTTTTCATGCTTTCTATACCTAGTTAGTGGGTTTCTTATTCTTTTAAACTTAACTATAAATATAATTCAGCTACTTTTCTTCAACTTTAAGTTTCCTTTGGACAAAATTCAAATATATGCAAATTAATTTTTGTAAATACAAAATCAATATTGGTTGAGACTGTTGATTACAATATTGGTAAAATATAAGGCACCATGAGGATGCTAAATAAAAGTTAAATGTACTGGACACTGGAATAGGAAAAGAAGTGTTAAAGGAAAATCAAAAAGGGTTTAGATTTTTCTCTGTAAAACCTTGGGAGAGAGAGGTAGATATGAAAAAGAAAAGAAAATAACAGTAACAAAAAAGATGTCTTAGAATCACAGTATTTTAACATATGTGACCCAAGAAAGCAATAGGCAGGCATCTATAATATTTTGATTTTTGGAAAAACAGTGTGACCTTAAAAAGCTAAACTGCAGATAATATACAATATCCCCGTGACTATGTAATACCTAAGACCTAAACCATCTAATTGAAAATGGTGTATTGTCAACCTAAACAGCAGTCAGAGAGAGATTTTCTAAAGATTAATGAACTGTATTTGGAAGTAGGTTAGCATTGCAGTGGAAATATCTGTACCATAGTAAACCATGAGCATATTCAAGGAGGTTTGAACAAGTCGAAGTTTTTAAGAGCAAAATCAGAAGGATTACATAAAATATTTTGAATCAATTATCCTTGACCATGATGATTA